GTTCCACATAAACATCTTCACTTAGCTCACCATGGAGAAAAGCCGACTTAACATCCAATTGAAAAATCGGCCAATTCTTCTGTGCAGCTAGAGCAATAATCATCCTTACTGTATCCATCCTTGCCACTGGTGCAAAAACTTCTGTATAGTCCATTCACTTCTGAGAGTACCTTTTAGCAACCAAACGAGCCTTGTACTTATCAATCTTTCCATGCTCATTGTATTTGGTTTTGTAAACCCACTTCTTTCCTATACAGTGAGTGTCCATGTTTGATTTTTTTCGATGGATTTAATTTCACTATCCATGGCCAATCTCCAATTTGCACTTTTCACAGCTTCCTCAAAAAACACTGGATCAGTTGACACCACTAATGCCATATGAACTTCATCCTCAAAAAGACCTTCACCACTAACATAATCACCCATCCACGTAGGAGGTTGCCTTTAACAAGATTGCCTCAACTCCCTCACTCTCTCTTCACCCTCACTAGTACCATCTTCCTTTTCTCTAACTCCTTTATCATGAGTCTCTCCTACCTCTCAATCAGTATTTTCTCCATTCCCATTTTCACTCACCCCTTCTTCATTCTCACTATCACCATCACCCCATTCTAAGTCTACTATTATTTGTTTTTCATAACTCACATCCCAATCCCATTACTTTTCTTCTTCAAAAATTACGTTTCTACTCACAACAACTCTCTTACCAACAGGATCGAAAAGCCTGTAACCTTTTGATTCCTCACTAACTCCTAATAACACACAAGTAATGCTTCTATTATCAAGTTTAGTCCTCCTTTCTTTTGGAACATGAACATGTGCTATGCAGCTAAAGAATCGAAAATGATCTACTGAGGGTTTCATTCCACTCTAAGCCTCCTCTGGTGTAACATCCTTGACTGCTAATGTAGGACACTTGTTTAGGACATAAATAGTCCAGTTCACTGTCTCCGGCCAAAAAGTCTTGGGAATGTTCTTGTCGGATAACATGGAACGAACCATATTTATCACGGTTCTATTTTTCCTTTCAGCTACACCATTTTGTTGTGGAGTATAAGCGGTGATCAACTGCCTCTTGATAGCACTTTGTTTGCAAAAATCATTGAACTCATTTGAATTGAATTCTCTTCCTCTATCAGTGCGAAAACACTTAACAAATAACTCTGTTTCATTTTCAATCATAGTCTTAAAGCATTTAAAAGAATTTAAAGCCTCTGACTTCTCCTCCAAGAAATACACCCATGCTTTTCTACTATAATCATCAATAAATAACAAAATGTACCTCTTGTCGCTATTAGATGTAGGAGTGATTGGACCAAAAATATCTGCATGAATAAGTTCCAACTTCTGAGTTGCTCTCCAAGTACTCCTCTCTGGAATAGGGTCACGGTGTTGCTTCCCGTTAATGCAATCAGTGCATGTCACACTTGAGACAGAGAGTTGAGGAAGGCAACGTACCATGTTCTTGTACAGCAAGGTTCTCAAACCCTTGTAACTCAGATGCCCATGCCTTCGATGCTAAAGATGAAACAAGTTTTGAGTTCTTGTGTGAAAGCACTAATTAGATTGTACTTGAGAGAGAGCTTGAGACTAAGGCAGCAAGATAAACATCTGATTGGTACTCATGTTGGTTTGAATTATCAAACCCTTTTTGGATGAAATATCTCGCACATTCCTCCCTTGATCAAAATAGCCAAGCCTCTTTCTTGCAACTGTCCTATGCTTAAGAGATTATTTCTCAATTCTGGAATATAATATACCTCGGCAACAACATGATTGACTCCATTAAGCAGTAGCTTCACACTTTCCTTTCCCATCACATCCATCTTAGTGTTGTTCCCCAATTTTACCGAATGTCAAAATTTTTCATCGAATTCATTGAACATAGTTCGATCCCTGTACATGTGATTAGAACACCCTGCATCAAGGAACCATGCATCTTCTCTTCTGGCCTTATACGACTCCATATAAGACATCAAAAGCATTTCTTCTTCCTCATCAAGCTCTGCATAATTTGCTTCTTTGTTCCCAGAAGGACATTCATACTGAAAGTGTCCAAGTTGATGGCATCGGTAACACTCCACAATTGCCTTGTTGAAGTCTGCTCGACCTTTCTCTCTTCCTCTTCCTCTGTAGGTACCACGACCACGACCTTTTCTTCTTTCAAATGTCACTTTCAAAGCCTGTTCCTCACCATTACGTCTCTGAAACTTTCGTTCATGCACTATTAATGAGCTTTGTAACTCAACAACTTAAGAGCATCAATGTCCTTTGACTCCTCGATAGAACATACAACATAGT